AGCTAACAGCTAGCAGACCATACTCTGCAGTCAAGCTGCAGGGAGCAGGATGTAAGAAGCATGATAAATGCTTCTAGTGTGAGCACACCAACCCCTGCAAAATCCTTGCCATGCTAACCTAAGCAAATCTTCCCCTGTGAAATAAGTTATACCAATGACAGCCACTATTTGAGCAATGGAAGCCATGCTGATCACAAATCTTGCACCTGCCAATATTGAGACAACATGAAGCTGGCATATCTGGAACATTAACAAGCTTTCTTATGCATGTTTAGTGCCTGGCACTAACACTCCTCATCTCCAAATGTTATCTGGTATAATTTTATTAGTGTATGGGTGAAGCAGCACGTAACATCAGTGGGCTTAATTTCTTTTTGGTCAGATTTCACTCCCTCCATTTCCCCTGAAACAAGCTGTCCATTTTCTTTCCAAGCTAGCAGTGCAAGGGTGCATCAAGCATACGGAGATGGTTAGCTTTTCCTGTTAGCTTAAGCATGTCAGTCTAAATTGTGGTACCTTTCTGGTTTAGTTTCCTCAAAAGGCTACCACACTGTGCTTTGCTGCGTGGCCATGCTCAACAGTTCTTATAACCTGTTTTGCAAATGCTGTTTGTGCCTGAGGTTGGCTCCATAAACTGCTGCTGCTTGAGCAGGTCCTGCCTTTCTTCTTGGCATCAAATACAGCAGCAAAAGCAGACAGTGAGAACTGTAGCCTGTTCCAACTAACTTACACGTAAATGCTTAATTCATTAAGAGTAGGATGCCTATGCATGTATCACTAAATGGTTTGGGTTGGAACAGACCTTTAAAAGTCACCTAGTCCAACCACTAAAAGTAATGAAAGGCCGCAATAAAGTCTCCCCAAAGGCTTCAGGGGGCTGGAACTAGAGGATCTTTAAGGTCCCTTCCAACCCAAGCCATTCTGTAATTCTGTGATTCTAACTCTCTCATAGGAGAGGTGTTCCAGCTCTCTGATCGTCTTTGTAACCCTCCTCTGGAGTCACACAAGCAGGTCCACATTCCTCTTCTATTAGGAGCTCCAGACTTGAATGCAGTACTGCAGGTGGGGTTTCATGAGATCAGAGAAGAGGGGGAGAATCACCTTCCTTGACCTGCTGGACACACTCCTTTTGATGCAGCCCAGCATATGGTTGGCTTTTTGGGCTCTGAGCGTACATTTCTTGGCTTATGCCCAGTTTTTCATCCAACAGTACCCCCACACTTCTCCACAGGATTGCTCTCAATCTCTTTATCCCCCAGGCAGTATAGACACTGGCGGCTGCTTGGATCCAGGTGCAGGACCTTGCATTTGACCTTGTTGAAGTTCATGAGGTTTGTGTGGGCTAACTGCTCAAGCCTGTCAAATGATGCATTTTCAAGAATGCTTAAGCAACATGAAAACACTTTTCAAAGGCAACTTTGGAAAAACTAGCATTTTAGCTAGTTACCAAGAAGTAACTACCAAGGAGAGGATCTGGTTCGAGACCATCTTAAGAACCTGAATGTGCACAGTTCCATGGGACCTGATGAAATCCATCTGCAGGTCCTGAAGGAGCTGGCAAATGAAGCTGCTAAGCCACTGTTCATCATATTTGAAAAATCATGGCAGTCAGGTGAAGTTCCCGACGACTGGAACAAAGGGAAATATAACCCCCATTTTCAAGAAGGGGAAAATGGATGACCCAGGGAATAACAGATCAGTCAATCTCACCTCTGTGCCCGGCAAAATCTTAGAGCAGATTCTCCTGGAAGGCATGCTAAGGCATATGAAAAACAACAAGGTGCTTGGTGACAGCCAGCATGGCTTCACTAAGGGGAAATCCTGCCTTACCAAGTTGGTGGCCTTCTGTGATGATGCTACAGAACTGATGGACAGGGGTAGAGCAGTTGATGTCATCTACCTGAACTTGTGTAAAGCGTTTGACACTGTCCCACACGACATCCTTGTCTCTAAATTGGAGAGACATCAATTTGATGGATGGACCACTCAGTGGATAAAGAACTGGCTGGATGGCCGCACACAAAGAGTTGTGGTCAATGGCTCAGTATCCGGCTGGAGACCAGTAACAAGTGGTGTCCCTCAGGGATCGGTGTTGGGACCGATCTTGTTCAACATCTTTGTCGCTGACATAGACAGTGGGATTGAGTGCGCCCTCAGCAAATTTGCCTATGACACCAAGCTGTGTGGTTCGGTTGATACGCTGGAGGGAAGGAATGCCATCCAGAGGGACCTTGACACGCTTGTGAGGTGGGCTGATGCCAACCTCATGAAGTTTAACCATGCCAAGTGCAAGGTCCTACACCTGGGTTGGGGCAATCCCAGGCACAGCTACAGGTTGGGCAGAGAAGAGATTCAGAGCAGCCCTGCGGAGAAGGACTTGTGGGTGCTGGTTGATGAGAAAATGAACATGAGCCGGCTGCAGTCTGCACTTGCAGCCCAGAAAGCCAACCGTATCCTGGACTGCATCAAAAGGAGCGTGACCATCAGGTTGAAGGAGGTGATCCTGCCCCTCTGCTCTTGCGAGACCTCACTTGGAGTACTGTGTACAGTTCTGGTGTCCTCAACATAAAAAGGACATGGAACTGTTGGAACAAGTCCAGAGAAGGGCCATGAGGATGATCAGGGGACTGGAGCACCTCCCGTATGAAGAGAGGCTGAGAAAGTTGGGGCTGTTCATCCTGGAGAAGAGAAGGCTGTGTGGAGATCTCATAGCAGTATCTGAAGGGGGCCTATAAGGATGCTGGAGAGGGACTCTTCATTAGAAACTGTAGTGACAGGACAAGGGGTAACGGGTTAAAACTTAAACAGGGGAAGTTTAGATTGGACATAAGGAAGAAGTTCTTTATTGTAAGGGTGGTGAGGCACTGGAATGGGTTGTCCATTGAGGTTGTGAATGCTCCATCCCTGGCAGTGTTCAAGGCCAGGCTGGACAAACCTTGGGTGAGATGGTTTAGTGTGAGGTGTCCCTGTCCATAGCAGTGGGGTCGGAACTTGATCATAAGGTCCTTTCCAACCCTAACTATTCTATGATTCTATGATTCTAAGAAGCCTACTTATGTACCCTTTTTACTTAAGGTATCTGTGCTGGAATTGCGTTTCCTGTTTTTCTTCTCATTGTTGTGCAAGCCCAAATCATCAGGAAACTCAGCTTCAGCAGTATGTGTGTAAGAGCTGGGATACTGGCTTACAACCATGCCTAAAATCTTTCTTAGTCACTCTTATTCAAGATCTTTTTTGATGCTCTTAGCCATACGAATAAACAGTTGTGTTCACCCCTCTCATTTTTTCACCCTGCAAGGTAGGAAGAAGTTGCTCACTTGGAAATGTTCTTGAGCACATGGAGGTTACAAGTGAAACTACCCAACCACAAAGCAAAATGAAGTAAATAATCGCTGATTGCTGAGCTGTTTTCTACATACTCTCTCCCAGCATGTAGTACTGCTCCTTGCAAAGCAGACTATAATATCTTTTTTTGCTACCTAAAAATAAACCATTATTGTGAACCAAAATACCATGACATTAAAACAAATCCCAACTATCTAAGAGGTCTAAAAAGCAGTCTTCAAGCCTGTAATTACAGGAGGCACAGCTGTATTTTTTTTTCTGCCAGCAAGAAGCAAATCTTAAAATTCTTAAGATTTTACTGAAAACTGAAACTTCCCCTAACATATTAAATGCGAATGTAACTCAATATGTCTTATTTGTGGGGGTTTAGCCTTACAAACTACATACACATATATTTTTAGCACTCATGTACTTAGGAAGTGGCATACCTGAGAACAAATATCTAGAGAGACTGTGGTAATGCAATACTTAATTATGTTCAAGTCCATTAAGGAACAGACACAATCTGACAAGAGGTCATGGTTAGAAAGAAGTTTCTGTCAGACTGTATGCAGAAAGTTTACATTTCTTATCACTTATGCTGGACTGAAGAGAGCTTTTATCCATTGTTGCACTGCTTGGCAGATTCCTATGACAAAATTTTCATTAAGCAGATTTCCTCTTAATCTGATTTCCATTTTCATGTATAGTTCTATTACCTACATGCTCATTTCCAGAAGAGAATTCCTGTTTCTTGGCTTTAGCATCCCTTGTAGTAAAAGAATGCTACACAGAGTGAAGTTAGCTACTGGGCTCTATACCAGATTATTTTAGTAGATGTGGACACTATGTAAAATACAAAAAATTTCCAGACTTGGCAGGGACAAAGGATATTTCTGAGTCCTAAACTCATACATGATGATTAATCACGTGCACCTAAGCACAGGTTTGCAAACTGCATAACAGAATGATGAATACAGCTTTTTCAACATATTTTCTGGAGGCCCATTCAACACCAGTTTCTTGTGAAATAAAATGTCACTTTTTTTTTTTGTTAAATTAACTGTGAAAAATAACACATTCATAGCCAAGATGCCCAGCATACACCAAAGGAAAAGCTAGTTCTAGCTGCTGAAAATTATCTTCCCTGACACATTGCACCAATTAATTGCTGGTTTTCAGTTGCCCACGTTCCTAAAACCACACAGACTCTTTTGCAGTGGAATATATAAAAACAGGGGAAAAAGGTTTCAGTGTCCAAAATGCGAAATAATGCTAAGATTATTCCCAAAATATTAAGAAATAGGGGAAAAAAAACCCCATAGCCTGGAAAGATATTTGTACTTTCTTCAGGAAGTACTGGATAGATGGAGAGGTTCTATAAGTAAGAATTTAATCAACCTGATACAGTTAAAAATCCTAAAATGGGATTTCATAAAATGCCTGAAAGAAACTGACTAACAATGCAAAGGATTTGTCTGAAAAAAAGGTTTATTTGAAAAACATTCAACAACTATTATTGAGGAATTATGTCTATGTTAACTTATTTACATATATAGAATACATGTACATATACAGAGTTATAATATGAATGGTGCATTACTTTAATAAATCCACAGAACTATGTATTGTACAAAAACTTTTAATATATAATGCAGTCTTCTTTTTTGTGTGTGTCTGAAATTGCCTAAAAATTAAGCATGTGTAAGACATGTTTTCTCAATGAATTGCTAGTAATTTCTTGTAGGCACTGTTGTTCACATTAGTAGAGCACGTACCCCTTCTACTAGTGGTAGACATTGACTGGCCACTGCTGTTACAACTGTTAGGATCAAGTGTCTCTTTACAATTGAAGAGACTGAAAAGTTGTCTCTGATACTGAGAAGAAGCATAGTAGTAAATGAAGGGGTCAATGCAACAGCTAATGCTGCTGATACAAACACAGAGTAGATAGGCAAAGTAGAGATATTCTAAGCTGTTGTCATAAGAGAAATGGACATAATGAATTAATAGGAGAATATTTGTTGGTCCAAAGCAAATAACAAAAACAGAAAAAACAGCCACACACAAGAGCAAGGCACGTGTCTTCTTGTTTTGTTTTGTAACAAGAGTAGAGGAACTAAGACATCGAATGATACACACATAACAGACAGTAGAGATTATAAATGGCACTACGAAAAACACAGAAGAGAAGATGGAGAAGAAGTGGAGGTAATAGCCATGAAGTTCAGATTCTCTTAGCACATCGTGGCAAGTAGTTATATTTAACTTCGGTATTTCCATTGTTTGCTCTCTAATGAGAAAAGGTATAACCCCACTTATTGCTACAAGCCATATGATGAGACAAATCAGTGAGGCACGTGTTAATGTACGCCACCCAAGAGACTGCATGGGATACACCACTGCTAAGAAGCGATCGAAGCTTATGCTTGTCATAAGCATTATTGAACAGTACATATTACAGTAAAAGGCAGCAGTGATGAAACGGCACATTTTGGGTCCAAAAGCCCAGTCATTTCCAGAAAAGTGATAAGCAATCTTAAAAGGAAGCACGCTTACAAACAGGACATCTGCAAGTGCCAAATTCAGCATGTATATCACAGCTGGCTTTTCAATTTTCATTTTTTTCAGAAACACGAGTATTGCTGTAATGTTCAGGGGGAGACTCAGCACAAGCACTATGGTGTAAACTGAAGGAACAAAACGCGTCAGCCATGGACTAGTGAGGTATCTTGCTGTTTGCACTGACACTATTCGCTGGTCATGTATGAATGATCTAGTATGGTTGGTGGCTCCTGATCCAGCTTCCGAGTCATTTTCAGTATCACCTTCAGTAGGTATGCGGTCATCCTGGTGACTTACAATGGAGACCATAAAACTTCTGATCTGTAGTGTGCTGCTGTTATACAGGGAGGCTGAAAAATAAGAAATTATTAAGATTAATAAGCAAATATTTACATCCTATGGGGAAACAAAAACATCTTTCAAAAAGAAAAGCTAAGATATATTAGCAACACAAAACAATGAGGTTAATTCCTGATTTGAAGTGCAGACTGCCCACAGATGTTAGTCCTTTTTATTTTGACTTCTGTTACAAGTTTGGGTAAGATGTTCTCCTTTGCCTCCTGGCTCGTGGCCTGGAAGCTTTTATGGGAGGGACTCTACCTAGCAAGTACTGAATATTTCTGTGGGCTCTGGAGACATCTTACTCAACACGACAGCCAATAAAGACAGGTGGCAGATATCTTCATGCAGTTTTCAATGCAGATGTGGTTCAACCTTTTGCTTGTACAAAGACTGCATTGAAACACTTCCCAAGTTCTACCTAATCTACCACACAGCACATATCCAGTGTGCCGTCAGAGCACTTTTGAAACCTGCCACTAGTGTTCCCTCTACAGCACGGTCTTTGCAGCATAGTTGTTGGCTGAGTCTGAGAAAAGAAAGTGCCAGGACAGGGTATCTCTGCTTTCTGAATGTAGCTGTAACGGGTTAGGAATTTGGCATTACAAAGTGTTGAATGTGTGGTATGGGTTTATTTCTGGGAAAAAAAAAAAAAAGGACAAAAATACCCAACCAACACCAAAAAAACCCACAAAACAATACCAAAAAACCCCAATCAATCAAAAGATCTATTTTGGACATATTTCAGAAAAGTTGTTTGCATGGAGTCTTATTTTGGAAGACAGTTGTTTTTCACATCAGCTTAATCTAGTTAGGTGAAGAATAATTCAAACATGTTGTGGGCAGACAGAAGTGAGAGTTACTACTATTTAATCACTGGTGCATAGCTGTGCAACTGATCCTTTGTTGAATCCTAGACAACTAAAACAAAAATGAAGGTGTGTTAGCTTAAATCAGTGAGCTGAAAGTACATCCGCATGATTCACCTTGTTACAAGCAATTGTTTTTTCTACAGTAATTCACACTTTTTAATGCAGATGAGAACAAATGCATCTGAAAGAGGCAGAGGGCAAACGAGGAGTGGCTGCAGCTTTAAGCAGGCAGTTACCTCCGTCTGTGTGCAGGCTGTGTGGGAAGGGCCCAGTCCAGCTTGAGTTTTGGTGAAATTCAAACTTGAACGTGGAGTGATGAGTGGTAGGGAAATTTGGGGATTTTTTACAGTTCCTGTGCTGTACCTATCATGTTGTCACAGCAGCATTCAGGGGGCAGGGCGGACAAAAGAGGGGAAGTGTCTGAGGTAATGGTTTTTGTATGCAAAGTGACTAGATTGCCACCACCACCGTAGGCCAGAAAAAGGATGTTGGATGAGAATTTCAGCCCAGATGCCTGTTGCATAGACTGCAGCAGGAGCAATTTAGTACTTTTCCTGAAACACAAATGCACAGAAGTATTTGCACAGCAGAGCACTAAATCAATTTATACAAGGGGCTATTCTGCTGTCTAAAAAGGAACACTAGTAAAATGTAAAACTATAGATCCTTAATCTTTAATCTTACTTCAAAAATTTAGTCCAAGCAGGCAGATGGCTCAGGGAATCAGCTCCTAGTTTGGCAGTTCAGGTTCAGCACAAGCTCTGTTTTACTGCCAAGATTATCTGTGCATGATGTGGTAACAGAGGTGCTTCCAGCAAGCACTTCTTATATCCCCATGTACCTGAACTTCGAACCAGTCAGCGTCACTGAGCCTTTATGATTGAGGTTAAGAAACTTAATGTGAAAGTCCTTGGTGGTAACCTGACCCACTTCTCGTCAGTGACTCCTAACTTAGAACAGTATGACAATATGCTAAAGGGAAAAAATGATAGGGCTAGTTCCCCTTTATTGACTGGTGACCTCTGTCTTAACTATTGCTTATAATTACTTGAACATCGATAATAATTTTAACTATATCCTGAATTCTTAGAGCTACCTTATTTACAGCTTTTTTAGATGAAAGGATTTAGAGTCTGCATTACTCAATATCAAACTTTTCTGTAAGTACAACCCTATTACAACAGTTCAGGACAAAAAAAAATCATAAATAATTTTAGTTTAGTTGAAATTATCTGGTTTAACTTAGTGAAAACTATGTGTTATTTGTAGAAGCAGACTTCCTCAGTTCAGAGTTGAACTCAACCTTGATGCTGTTAACAGCACCTCCATGCTGTGTCCCTTGCTCACTCCATGTCTCCACCTTGAACTTCAATGACATGAAGTACCACTTGGAAGCCATCTCTATGGAAAAACACAACAAGACCTCAAACTTGCCGTTTTTCTGCCGCGTCATACTACAGAGAATGGGAATTTAAACTTGCTTGGTGAAATTCAATTTCATTTTAATTTAAAAGACTGATAGTCACAGATCAGTTCTTTTTTTTTTTGCAAAGATGCCTGTTTGTATGACACAGCATCTGCTTATTAGAAAAAATACCAGTGCAATTCATGCTTTTTGAAATGGAAAGGAAGATGGTTACTGCCCTGAGGTTCTGAATTCCTTTTGTGCTAGTGTTTATTTGAAAAAGCTGATGATCAGAGATTTATACACAGAAAGGAAGAGGGTGAAATGATATCATATTACCTAAAAAGATACTAGTGAACTTGACAGTAAACATTAAGGTCAGTAGTGGGAAATAAGCATTACCTGTAAGTTGGGATAGTACAAAGCAGCCAATACAGTAGCTCTACAGGAAAGATTTTAAAACTGCTCTGACAGAGCCACAACTATACCAGAACCTGTCAGATGTTCTTTTCTAGCTGTTTTAAAGCTGTAGATACCATTTGTCTACAACATACTTCACTACAGCTTAAGTAATTTCTAATAAAACAAATCAGCTGTTAGAAAATCAGAGGTAAAGCTTGTATAATGATCATAAATATTCAGACAGTCATCCTGGTTTTGCTAGGCTGTCATCCAGTCCTTTTGGAAGAGGTCAAACCGGGTAGATTACAATTGTTATGCGTAACAGTACTCTCATGGCTGATATGACAGAGTAAACAGCTCTATCTACTTGTAAACTATAAAGAGGTACAAACGAATAGGACGAAGAAACTAAGAAAGAAAAAAAGGGATAAAGCACCAAGGTTTTATCTTCATGGTGTGCAGTCAGGACACTGAACAATACACATGGAGTCTTTTCTTTGCTTCCAGTAGGGACTTTGAGAGGCAGAAATTATATAGAACGATACTCAGATTGCCTGAACTTTTCTTTTACTGCCTGTGGTCTTTGCACTGATTCTCCATCAAGGATACAGAGAAAAGATGTAGAAAGCTCAGTAAGTCTGGATTGTTCAACAATCTATACTGTGCTGTTTTCTATTGAGTATTACATATTGTTTATCTCACGATCAGCATATGCATGTTCTGTTTACCCTGACACTGCCTTTTCTTTTTTTCTTTTACACAGACTTATGTCATAAATTTCTGTCTATTTTCACATGCAAGGTGCTACTGCACATACTGTTCTTGGAAAGGAGAAGTAGAGAGCAAAAAATATAATGGCTTCAACCAACCATAAAAAGCAGTCTTGATCTCCAGAAGAAGATGTCAAAGTATTTCTGTAGAGTCACAAATCTGGACAGGATGTTTACACACCAGCAGTGTTCATGTCCCAGGGGATATCTTTGTGAGCTGGAAAACTAGAAAGTAGGCTCCTACTCAAACCAATTAAATTTGTGCTGCTGGACAACAATTAATATAATTTCTGGGTATTACTGCTGACAGCTGCACCCATACTGCTGGCTTGTAACAAAAGGTTGGTTTCTCTTATCTCTCCTATATATAATCTGATAGTGATAAACATTTGGAATCTGAATTACTCACTGGCCCATAAATCAGTTACTCGCAAGCAGAATGTGAATTGCATGCCAGGCATATTTATAAACAAGGTAAATCACAACTTTGTAGGGCAGTTAACAATTATTTGCTTTTATAAAAATATACACTGGATGTCTTTAAAAAAAAAAACCTTCTTTAGCCCACAGGTCTGTTTATACAGAATTTGTTACTGTATTACACGAGTAATGTAACAATTTGAACATATTTTCCTAAAGTGTTGTTTTGTTGCAACCCTAGAAGGATCCAGGGTCTCACCAGTTAGAGCACTGTTGTTGCCACTAGTTCTATTTCTAGTGGAGCATCAATGAAGGTCACCTGCCTGGGATGGATACTCTGAACTACTTTTTGCTGGTGGATCTTACAGACTTTGTGTTACCTACAGATTCAGCTGGCAGTGCATCTCCTGAAGTTGTGAACGAAAGGCAATGCCATTGTTTTGAGGAAGCCCACCAGTATGTCCCACCAGGCTGGTCACTTCTTTCCATTGTAACTTGCTGTTGCCTGGCCACCTCCTTAGCCATGGGACAACTGTAAACCGTTCTTCACCATCAGTAACCTTATCCGTGACATTGCGTTTATCACAGATCTATGTATTTTAGATCTGTGACACGTCCTTTATTCAAAATATACTACTCAAAAAGCATCTGCCTCACTTTGCTTTACTCAGGGCAGCTTCATATTTCGGCCTGTTCCCTCGCCGCTGCTGTGAGAACCAAGCTAGCGCAGCGGTCCACAGCGCCGAAGCAAGATCGCTCCTAAGTACCAATTAAACTGCAAAGCGGGAGACCCCTGACCAGGCCAGCGATGCCCTGCCTTTCGGGTATTTCCCTCTGCCAAGCCGCGCGGCCCCGGCCCCGCTGCCAAGGCAAACGCCGCCCGGCCGGGCTCCTCGCTCTGCTCCCGCTTCCCTGGGGCCCCCACCTGGAACGGGAGGGTGGGGGCGCGGCGGCCTAACCCGGTCCTCCCCGGCCGTCCCCTGCCCTCCGGCGCGTTCCCCGGCAGCTCCCTGCGCGGGGCGGCGACTCACCGTGGCCGGCGGCTGCGGCTGGCGGGCAGCACAGGACGGCCAGCGCGCAGAGCAGAGCGGGCAGCGCCCGCGGCCCCATGGCCACCGGGTCTGGGGGGGGCCGCGCTGCGAGGATCTCCGTCCGTCTGTCCGTCCAGCGCAGGAGGACGCGAGCGCAGCCGATGCGCGGCGGGTAGCAACCGGCAGGAGGCTGGGGCTGCTGAAGAACCGCCCCGGGGCGGCCGGGCCTCCCTCCGGCGGCAGGGGAGGATGGAGCGCCCTCCTGCCGCTCCGCTCCGCTCCGCGCCGGCAGAGGGGGCGCATCACGCCGCAGCCGAACCGCCCATCGTGGAGCGGGAGGAGAGCCGGGTCCCGGACACCGGGAGGGACGGGCAGAGCCCGCCCCCCCGTGCGCTGCAGCGGGGAGCGGCGGCACCCAGCGGAGAAACGGGAAGGGGCCGAGCGGCCTGGCTGGGTGAGGGGGCAGAAGGAGCGACGCAAGGCTTGCTCTTAAGGAGCTGTTCTGAGCCAAGTTTCCCAGGCTCTGTTTGTGCAGTCCCACAGCGTTACAGTTACAGGGCCAGCTGAAGGATCATTACTCTTGATTGAGAGAACACATTCAGAAAACCTCAGTCATACACGGGTCTGCTTTGTATAAACAGTACCAAAGCTTGCTTGTAGTGGGTAAGTGCATGCTCTAGAAATACAGGACAACCTAAAACCCGTGCATGACCTAGGTTTGCAGTCCTCACATCTGTTCTGGCAAGATCGCTGCAGAGGTGGTGCCACTCGTGAGCTCCAGTGGCATATGCCTTGGACAGGCACTTTGTTCTGTCCTTTGATGTTGCTCATGAAACCAGAGCTGTTTGGAATGAATCCTGTATGAAAGCTAGAGTGGAATACATTTTGTCAACTTTGCAGCTAGTATTCTGGCTCTTTTCTTTGAAAATACTTATTCCAGGATATGGTGTCCCATCCTCAACCGTATAGTGCTCTGTTTACAGCAATAAAGAAAAAAGGGGTGGGGGTGTCCATTTAGAAGTTGGTCCTATTTATGGCATGACTTTATTACAGAAGAAACACTGAGTTTTGCTGTTAACAAAGTAAAAACAATGGAAAATAAATACTCTTGATCGCAAATACTGGTTCCCAGTAAGTTATGTTCCATAATCCTATCACTTGCTATGTTACAGCGCTGTTAGAGCTGGCTCCAATTTGTGTAGAGCAAAGGCAAGTAATGCAAGTTTAACAGCTGGCCAGCCTTTTCACAGCTCTGTCATCCCAAACACTAGGGAACCCCCACAGAACACCTTATACTTCATCATTAACTAATTTTCTTCATCTATTTAGAAAACACCCTAATAAGAGATAA